GCAATTGATAAGAGAGAAAAGAGCTTTCTAGAAACAGTCCCAGGCCTCCATCTTGAGTGTTGGGGGAATACCAAAACTGTTATTCTCCTAATGAAATCTATAGCCAAGCCCGTGGAGGTCATTTGTAGTTTATTCATTCAGCAGATATGTGACCAGTATTGCAAGCCCAGTTCTGTGCTAGACACAAGAAGTTGGAGATGTCTCCAAGGAAATTACAAATTAATTGTAGGTGGTGGTAAGTCCTATAGGAAATGAGTAAAATTATTTTTTAAAGTGAGTCACAAATGACAAATGTCTTATTTCTTGTTTTAAAAAAAATAATGAGCAATCTCTTCAGACACTAGGCTATTATAATTTCCCACGGTATACCACAATTTCGGGCTGCACTAGATACCAGTATTGCACAACTAGTTATGACACTATTACTATACTATATGTTTTCTCATAGAAAACAAAATGGGGAGGGGGAGAAAAATTGATTACTTAATTTTTGCGTGAAGTCTGCTATCATAATGTTTCTATAAGTCCTTAAGTTCACTCACTTCTGCTTCGATGGCTCATACTGGACCTTCTTTGGGACAACTCTTCTAATCCAAATGCAACTTTCCCCGGTGTGAATGTTCATAACATATGTATCAGTTAAACCTTTCATAAGCTCATGCTCTGCCCAAGTTCGAATGCTAACTCTGTCATTTTTCTGGGGAACCTGGGCCAGTTCCTCACACTCTCTGTGCTTCACTGCTCTCTTTGCTAGTGCTGGTTATTCCTACGATGAGGTATCGGGTTGGGGAATGGGGACCAAAGTGATGAATAAGACATTGCTTTTGCTCTCGTGAGGTTTTATTCTAGTCAGGGGAGACAGATGCGTAAATGAGAAATAGGGTGTTAATACCCATAAGAACAGGAAAGATACACAGCAAACTGATGACTGCAATTGGGAGTGATGATCACTCTCAATCTATCTGTAGTGGTTGAATCCTCTCTTTTTACAATGGGAGTACATTCATCTATTTCTTAAGTAAAAAAAAAAAAAATTTTTTTTTTAATTTTCTCTCCTTCGAGGTGGCGTTAGGGTGACCATGGGCATTTTTGAGAGAGAGCGAAGGGAAGTTAAATGGCTATACGTTTGGTTTGGGAGTACAATTGTTATTGCTAAGATCCTGGTGTGAGAATCGCTTCCAGGATGCACTTAACACCCACCGTGCCAACCGCCCGGCATGGTCACATGAAGGTGCAAGGCAGGGTTTATTGTGACATGAATGTGTTTTACACAGTGCCAGCACCATAAGTAAGCAGACCCTGGAAGTCTGAAATATATGGAATCAAAGTTAGTGTCAAGATTATTTTAATCCTTAACTATGTAAAAGTAGAGGATTTTGGTTCTTGTGGAAGCCTAGTTAAAAGGAAGTTCTCGCTGTCTGGAACATATCCGACAATGCAGCTGATACAATTATACATATGCATACTTTTTCATGGGAATCATAGGAAATAGAATTGACCAGAATTTCTGTATTTTTAGGGAGTGGGCAGCTAATATATTTCTGTGTAGAATCACATGACTTAAGATCTCAACTATCAATAATAAAATAATTTCAATCAAAGAAAACATTGAATGATCTTTCTATTATCTCGAAAAGAATAACTTTCAAAAGCATTGTTATACGAAGAGCTGGTCAAAGAGGGTGCAGCCCCAAAATAATGAAATAAAAGCACAGGGAGTGTGTTAGCCATTAATGGAAAAAAAAAAATGAAATTTTCTGGATTTTTGTCATATTTGTGGCATTTCGATTAGATGTATTATTTCATTATAATTAAATTTTAATTTCAGTGTCTATGTTTGAATTACTTTTCATAAAGAAGGAGGTCCAAGTGGTGTCGATCCCCACCAAAGCTGGGTCAGCCCTGGCATAAGAACCATAGCCTTAAAGTTTGATTGCGTGTGGGGCCCGCAGAAAATGCCCCTGTACCCTCTGCTGGGGTGGCTGGGCAGCTGTTGGCACTGGACTGTGGGCCAGAGACTACGGAGAAATGTGTTTGGGTAGATGGCAAATTTAGTGCTGCTTGTGAGGGTGAGGGGTCTGTGGGATATTCCAGAGGAGAGGCCCAGGAGAGAGATCGCGGTGGAGAAAGACCAGATGGAAAGACTCAGAATGAAAGGAACAGGGCCAAGGACAGAGGATGGAGCTCAGGACAGCAATGAGTAGGCAGAGCTACCGAGACAGAGAAACAGAGGCAGAGAGACAGAAGACAGATGATGAACCAGTCACTTAAATTTCCTAGCCTCTATTCCAGAACTTTCTGTGGCCCAGACAAGTCATTCACTGACATCCCACCATGAGTACCTTCTTTTCTTTTGTTCGTGTCCTTTTTTCTCCTTTGGCTCCCCTCCACTCACCCCCA